GATCCCACAAGAACAATACTCTTAAAATTAAGTAAAATATAAGAATTAGTGATGTTTACAGATTCCAGAACCTATTAATGAATGACACAAGGCTTATTCTCAATAACAAACAAGAGTGTACAGAACAAAGAAGAAAAACTGTAGGTGTTTTTAAAAATTTTCAATGCTTCATCTACTTCTTTTATCGTAGTTTTTCAATACAGCCCCCCCCCCCCGAGTGAGTCAGAGTTTTCCATGACCACACTGACTGAGTAACTATTGATATGAACTTCTTAGTGATCATTGCTGCATTGGTGGATTCTCACCAATAACAGGATGTTCCACTTTGCTTACCACAACTAGTGTACAACTTTTTTTTACAATCTCTTTCTGCATGGTCCTGCTACCCCAAGTTGATCCATATTCGTTTTTTTTTATCAAACCATTAAGTAAAAAGGATATCCTTGTCTTGGTAATTCTAAATCTCCAATCTAAACACATCTTTATGATCTGAGCATATGAATATTTTGGGTCAGAAATGACTGTTCCATACCCTTTCCAAAAATGATCAATTATTTGGTGGCATCACACGACCTGTGAATTCCGAGCAGTGCCAAAATGCAGTTCTGATACAAGCTGTTATACCAAGACTTTGTTTGGTTTGTTTTAAATTTTGCAAAGCTAAATGAGAGCTATCTTCACTACCCATATCTAATTTAGCAGTGAAAGACTAGAGGGAAGGCAGATAGTCATCACCACCCACCATGAACTCTTGGACTACTCTTTTACCAATGAATAGGGGGATTGACCATCACATTATAATGCCCCCACAATTGAAAGGGTGAGCACATTCGGTTAGAAGGAGGATTTAAACCACTGCAGATTGCGAGTCAAGTACCTTAATAACCTGGCCAGACCACAAGACTTTGTATCAGCTGTGGTTGTCATATTATATAATGTACTCAAACCTCTGTACAATTCAAGCTTTATACATACAATGGGCCAGGTTCACCTTTCTTTTTATACAATTTTTTTTTAGCATTGAAAGTATTCAGTATTTCCTGTGCAGTTTCAGATATTTTAAAATTAGTGGGAAAAAAAAAAAACATTCTGGCAGTTCAACTCAAACATCCCAAAAAACAATAAGAATATTTTTAAAAATTTCACACCCAAAAAAAGTTTAATTTTGACTATAATGTTTTAGTTCTATTGAAAACTGCATACAACACCGCAAGTTTAATAAAATGAAATGTTAAAGATTATGTGCAGATAGATTGCAAAACATTCATGGAGAAGCTTATAATTCTAAATATCACATGCATACTAAATAGTATGAATAAAAGTGTAAAATACGTAGAAAATATATAACGTCAAATAAACCCATCCATGTTGAAATAAGCCTTTCAGGAGATAAGACAAAATTTAGAAAAACAGGTCCCACATGTAAAGTGAACTAAAATATATCATCACAAAAGATCAGAAAGCCATAATTTTTTTTTCGTACTTGTATACAGAATAACCTACTTTTTCTTTGATTTTGGTGATGGATTAGCTTTTGTTGAGCAATTAAAAACTACGGACTTCTGTTTCTTTCCCAGAAGTTGTTTTGATTGAGAAATATTTTTCATTTCTATCCTCTGTGAACTTTCCTGATCTTGAGTCTGTGGTAGTTGACAGCTCGTTGACACAACACCGACTTCTGTGGACCTTGCTAATCTGATTTCTACAACAGAGAAAGTAGAACAGCCTTAAACACAACCAGGTATTTGTTTAAATACCTACAAATACAACCGACTTTAATGTAATCGTGATGATTGATCTGTTTTTTTTTGTGCAAAGCTACTTAAGGGCTATATGCACTAACCAGTATGACAATAAACCTATGATCTAATTCATGTAATAAATGAAACGTTAAGATCAAAATAATCAAGGTCAGCAAGGGTACCAAATTTATGAATCATTGTACTCTTAATCGTTACAAGTTTTTATTTTGTGAGAAGCACAATCCTAGTTAGAAATGGTACATGAAATTCTGTACGTTAGTTACTAAGTTAACTGATCTACGTAGGTTGCTTTAACTCTTTAAAACCTGTACTTTTTTTGAGAGTTTTGCTGGAATTATTTGCATGATTTCCTAATAATTATCACTGTACTTTATAAAATTAAATTTTTTTTAATTTTGTGGTGTGGATTAGTTTTCAGTCAGAGGAACATAAATGTTATTTGACACTTACAATCCGATGGCTAAATTAAGATTTTTGGCCAGATGCTGGTAGCATCTGCTCGGCTTTAAGGAATTAATACAAAGTTAATGATAAGGTAGTTCTCCCCCTTTTATTCAAAATTAAAATACATTAGCATTAAAACAGAAAGAAAACCTCAATTTTTTTTTTATTAGTACTTAATAGGCTAAGTAATTTTTTTCTAGAGTACAACTCAATGATTCTTACTTCCTCAATTTAGATTAAACATTTTCCCAACTTTAATTAAGAATTAAAATAGGTTATTGTCAAAACAGAAAAAAAAAACACATTTTTGCTAGACTTTAACAAGCAGAGTTTAAAGTTTGAAAATACAATGGATTCCCAATTACAACTTGGATACCTCACCTTTTTGTTGAGTATTACGTTCCTTATCGTTAGATCCGTTTGGTAAAGCTGCTTCATCTGGTGCAGGAATGGGGACTTCTGGAAACACAACTCCCTCTGATACTGTAGCATCTACTTTATTGGTTTGAATGGTATACCGAGTTATACTTGAAATTCCTAAACTGGAGGCAGTTTTGTCCATTTTTGTATATTTAGGTTCATCTTTCAACCAGTTTTGTGGGTCCTTAGATGAACTTCTTACAGATTTCGGTTGTCTCTTGCCTGAAAGTATAAATCTGTCTTGTTCATAACTTATTTGGTTAATAATAAATTAACAATAAAGATAAAACTTGTATGTTTTAAACCATCTATAAAGTAAGTCCTACAACTATCAAAACTTAAATTTATTTGAGACATGTATCAGGTGATACAAAACTATAAGAAGCCACTCACTTGGCTTGACTTGGTTAGCATTATCAAGTATATTTTGTCTGTAAATCAGAGTAAAATGTACTCTGTTATTTCTATAAAGTTTGATTTATTAATACTATTTGTTAAAATTTGATATTTACTGTTCAGTTAATTTTTATTACAGGATTGCTTTGCATTTTTAACTTAGTACGTGGACTTAGGACTAACTTAAATCTCATAAGATGGCTGAACATCTTAATATATATATATATATATTCCATTTACAAGTTGCAAGTATCATTCAAAGCAAGAGTATTTAACTCACAATCGGAAATTAATATTACTTAATACAATGATTTTTTATAATACCTTTCAATTTTATTCAGCCAATGGGTACATTTTTTTAACTTACAATACAGCTTCATAACAATAGCATTATTAAAAAAAAAGTCACGCGATTTCCTGACTGGTATTAAGTAATATTTATTTACGATACAGACATTTCTAAATGACATCACTGTATGCAGCACTGGGGTTGTTGTAAGTCTAGTGACAAACCATAAACTTTATTTTATTTTAATGCAATTTACATCAAATTAAGAAAATTCAATATGTAATTAAAATAAACTTTTTTTGTTTTTAAACCACACTTGGCATTATCTGACCAGTCAGTTGACTGATTTTTTTTACCATCCAAATGTCTAATCATGGTATGTGTAACACCACAATAATATATTAATTTTAAGTATTTAGTGAGAACATGTGGTGTGTGTACTTGTACAAGTGATAACAACAGCTCAATCTAGTCCAGTAGTTAAACCTCAAGTAAAATAAAGTTAAGTAAAAACTCTTTTCAGTTACAAAACAGGAAATATTCCCAAGCCTATTCTAAAAGAATTTGTGAAGGGTGCAGTACAAAATATTTCTATTTTACTCAGTTTAGTAATAAAACATTCATGTTTAATTAAGGTGTGATGATTGGTAGCATCATTTACATTTATGACTTACTAAGCTAACTAAAACTGCATGTTTTATATGTCCATATAATCAGCCATTTGGTAGAGTAGAACAGAAAACTAACCATATAAAGAGAAACTACAGAAAGACCATACATTTAAGGTCTGCCCCTACCACAACCTCAAGAGGGGTTAAGGGGAACAGCAATATGCTGTTGCTCATGGCAGGGCAAAGATAATTTTAGGTTGTATTTACAGAAATGCCAAATAACTCTTAATTAATAAAGAGGTTATAATTTCATTTTAGGAGGTACCGGTTAGGCACATTTGGAGTATTGTCTTCATTTACCTTAAGAAGGATATTGAATTGTTTCAAACGGTTCAGAGGAGGAATACTAGAATAATGTCAGAAACGAAAGACTCGTACGAAGACACATTTAAGATCTCTGAACTTTTCTTATGAAAAAAGGAAAAGTTAGAACAGGATCTGATCGAGATGTTTAAAAGTGTTAAGAGAATTGTATCACCTATTTTTTGTAATTGGTGAGAATTGTAGGACAAGAGAAAACAAATATAAATTTTGGCAGGGAGGAGTCATCTTCATTAAGACTGATTTTATTTTTCTATCATGGTGGTTGACCTATGGAAAGGCTTGAAATAGGTAAATACAGTGTAGCCCCGTTATAACACGATCGTTGAGGTCCATAAAATGTCATCGCGATACAAGCGTGGTCGCGCTAAAACAGGGTTTTGTAAAGATGCACTTAAAATATTAAAAGTTATTAGTATGTAAACTATAACGAGGTCGGTTCCAGGGACCGAGCCTGTGTCGAAAGAGTTAATGACCCATCGCATTATATCCGAATTCACATAAAATCACTGTAGTAAATTCTAGTTTGGGTTGTTGTTTTTTTTAAGTTAAATGAATGGAACAGCCTCAATGGATCAACAGACCTCTTGTTGTCCTTAAATATTGTTATAATAAGGCACGACTGATATCGATAAAACTTTACACATCCATTATTTTTAATTCTATGCCCACTCTATATTATAATCTAATTTTTTGAAGATACAAAATCAAACTTTAAATACAAACAATTTGCTAAATTCTGGGTATAATAAAACTAAAGTTATCCACTCCAGTGGTTCTCAAATCTAAATTAAAAAAAAAAAAAAACAAGTAGCAAAAGTTTATATTTTTGAACTTACCCATTAATGGGAAGGATGTGATTTTTTTTTTTTTTCTGGCACAGTTGAAGAATACAGTTGTCAATTTCAAGGGAAGAAAACACTGACAAATCCATGCAGGTGGAGGATGAATTTAGAAGTGAGGAGAGTAGTGTGTATATATGTATATTGGAAGCTCAATTTGGGCTTATTACAAATTATATAACTTTTAAATTAATTTTTTCGCATACGACAATTTGAAAATCTTTTACCTAAACAATAATATTAAACTAATTAAGCAGTACATGTGTGAACAATGGAAAATTTTTTATAACAACAACAACAAAGGAAATTAATTTACAATTAAGGGTATCATCTATATATAGAAACGATAAAAATAAAATGAAACTTATTTTTTAATTCTTAATTTAATGCATAGTAAATATTTTAAATAAATTAAATACTAAAAGTATTTCCCATAATTTACCAACACTATAACAAGGTATGGCTTATAATTTATATTTGCACACAAATGTTGCCAATTTATCGAATACTTAAATAGTAAATTCGAAGAATTTATTTGAATTTTGATCATGAGTTGTACTTACGAATTACAAAATACAAGTACTGAAGTAGGTAGATCATTGATACTCACAGAGTAAAACTAAAAGTTAAATTGCCATAAAATTAACATTACTAATAATAAAATTAGGCTCTAGTCCTAGTAATTATTCAGTACCAGTACCAATAAAATTAGTAATACTAATAATATTACTATTTCAAAAACTAATAGTAATCATATAGTATTAGTATATTACTAACTTTACAAATTAGTTAGCCAAGTTACCTTTGACCATGATTTTGACTTGAAGTTGAAACTGATTTCCTTTTTTTTTCTGTCCCTGAGGTATAGGCCTAACTGTGATTGTTACAACTCAAGTTATAACATATATTGGTATTGTAATGATGCAAGTTCACTTTCAATTTTATACTAATCATTCCAAATCGCTAGTACTACTACAAGTTGTACCTAGGCCAAGTGTTCGCAGCATAGCTATATCACAATATTTAACCGTTACCACTTACCACAGTAGTACTAATAGCATTTAACTAAATCAAGCAACTACAACTTTATTTATATATGGTTAAACATGCCAAACTTAACCACCACAATACCAATGAGGCACAATAAACCCTGATTTCCAGCGATAAGTAACTGCCTCGAAATTATCCTAGACTAAATCGCCGGGAGTTTAAAATTTTCAGTTGCTGTATATTGCGAACGTTATTTTCGTACCATACTCATTTTAATTTAATTACATTTTAAATGTTAAATGAAAAATATTTTCAACAATAATACATTAATAAAACTAAGTTGACATTTTTATCGGTATTTTCGACATAATTTACTTCACTCAAATTCTAATATTGTGCATAAATAATGAGGGTTTGTTTCGAATATTCGCGCAAAGCTACACAATGGCTATTTGCGCTTTCTGAAATCCGCAAATTTGAATAAAAGGGTATGTTTTAAAGAGGAAAGATTTCGTGTATTTTTCTTTGTTTTTTAATTCAAGAATTAAGCTAACTTGAGATACAAGAAAATCAAGCAGCTCGGATAAAAAAAAAATGTTGAATATGACATTATATAAATTATAATGAACAGGAAATAAATGCATGTGAGTATATATTTTTTTATAAGTTTACCTTAACATTAGGATTTTAAACAAGAAGCCCTTGAAATTAAGAAAAAGGGGTAGTTTTTAATGGTGAAAAATCTGTGAAAGTGCAAAAATAGAAGATATTTTTATCTAAATTTCAAAGAACAGACTGGATAACGCACGTAGGCAAGGGGGGTGAGTTCACCTGAACCACCTATTTTTGTTATGTAAAAAAAAACTGCCACTAAGTTCGTGTTCATGTGAACGTTCGGCATCTGCTCTCCGTCGGTTGAATAATTAATTACCTGAGGTTTACACAAACCGAAGAAAGACTGAGTGCACTAGCTTTAACACATAATCATTATGACACTGCTATCAACACTGAAACAGTATGCAAATTATTTATGGAAAAGCATCCCAGAAGAATGGAGCATGCTAACATGTTATTTCAATAGTGCCTACATGTACGTATATGATAGCCAATGAGTGGCATAGCTAATATACTATTGTTATACAGAGTTGTTTAAATTAATACTATGATTTAACAGTTAATAACTACTCAGCGTGTAGATAGTACAGTACTTTACTATAATAAAACATACATATTTATGCTAATTTAAGTCTAACTCCCCATGCAGTGTTACAACAGAATGATGATTTGTTGACTTTTCATTGGATGTTTGTAGATTTTATGTGAACAGCCAGGCAATTGTTTAAGCTATATTTCATGCAAATTTAATCTCACAGCACCTATTTTTTTTACAGATTTTCTGGGGGCCTTTCTACCAAACCTCCGTAGCATTAGCATGCAAATTGTGTTTCGCACAATATGTGTTGGCTTTTGGTCTCACAAATTAGAATCCCTTTTCAAACATTCTGTGTACGGGTCTGGAATTTAGAATGTGTAACGAGAATGGGAACCACCTTACAGCTTGAGTGTCACTATCGTGGATATGACTGTCACTTTTATAACACACACACGGCCCTAAAATACAGAACGTGATTTTGCAGCAACCAGACGCGAACCATGGACTGTCAGATTCACAGCCCGTAACGATAACCACTGGGCAACGCCCGACCGTCATAAAGTATGGTCTTATGTGACGGTTGATATCATAATTTTTATTTGTCTTATCAACAATTTTCTGGAGCACTGCATAAACCTTATTAGTTTTTAATAGGCAGCTCAGGTTCTTAATTTATTTTATTTTATTTATTTATTTTTTGTTAATTTTTCAGAGTATTTTGGAATATACCAAATAATGTAAATGATTAATTTTATTTACTGAAATATTGTTGCTCCCCAGTGGCACAGCGTTATGTCCGCTAAAATCCGGGTTTCAATATCCGTGGTGGGCAGAGCACAGATAGCCTATCGTGTTGCTATGTGTTGATTTTAATCAAACAAACAATGCTGCATTGTTTTAAAGCTCGGATAGATTTGACGAATTTCTATCTACTAGGTAAATGGGATTTTGCTAGCTTTTTTTAAATAAATTTGAAATCTCTGGTGTAGATGGTATTTTTTAGCTCAAGCTTATTTACACTCCTTTTTCTATAAGCTAATAGTTGAAGTAATCAAAATTATTGAGTGTCATGGATAGCGAGTGGTAGGTTGCTGCCTTTCCTCTGATCAGTAGTTCAAAATTAGTGATAGCTATAGCTGAATCCTAAGGATCGCTGATATATCTGTAAATACAAATTCAGTCTTACGTATTTTATTCGAAGTAGACGTTGAGATGATGAATAACTTTCCAGCATAACTTCTCTTTAAATAATGTTGGAAATTCCGCTTCAACGCATTGGGGAATTTGCAGAATTGCGCTTTTAAAAAAAATACTATTTTACTTGAATCCTTGGGTGGCAAGAGAGCCATTGCCTCACCAATACATTTTTTTAGAGTGGAGATATATTTTTTGCCCCACCAATATGCTTCAGCTGAGAATTCTTTTAGTCAACCGAGTCTCCTTAAAATTCAGTTGTGAAGTGCAATGAATCAGAAACCCTCAAGTCTGATAATGTTAAGCGTTTTCCGAGACGTTGACAAATGCGACATAAAATACCAAGTTAATATTTTCATTGCAGAGAATAAGATGCGTTACAAAATATTTAGCTTCTTAGATATTGTATGATTTTATATGTGAATATGTTTCTGTTTCTAACAAATAAAATATATTTTTATTAATAATTATTTCTTCATCTTTGCCAATCCAATGTATTTCTTGGATCAACTTCTCTCACTCCTTGTTACGAGCCCGGTGGTTAGAGCGTCTGACTCGCAATCTGAAGGTCGCGGGTTCGAATCCACATCAAACATGCTTGCCCTTTCACCCGTGGGGGCGTTATAATGTTACGGTGAATCCCACTATTCGTTGGTAAAAGAGTAGCCCAAGAGTTGGCGGTAATGACTAACTGTCTTTCACGGCTAAATTATGGGCGGCTAGTGCAGATAGCCCTCGTGTAGCTTTGCGCGAAATTCAAACCAAATCTTATTATGATTACTAAATTCATGTCAAATATACGAAAAATATTAATATATTGGGGAAATTAAAGTTTCTATAAAAATTGGTCACTATTAACTAATTTAAGAAAACATTTCGCAAAATAGATTTAATTAAAAAAATATATTTAAAAACAGGCAAGAGTGATCGTAATAGGTAAAAGTTTGATGTTGCTGTTTTTGAGTGTCATTAAGTTAAAATGGCGTACCATATCAAAATTAAATGAGCTAGAAATGTGTGATAAATCCTTTATCTTTCATAAGCAATTAAAAAATTTCGTGTTGTATACACATTACGTTAAAGGTAATGTGTAACACACAAGGTACAGGATATAACTGCCAATGTTTGAAATGTGTTAACGAGTAGATGCCTTCATCTATTCTTGATAAACACCGTCAGTATCTGTCGTAAAACATTGAGTAATTCTTAAGCAACTGCTACATAATTTCCAATGCAAATATGAGGGATTTGCAAGTTAGGCTACTGAGATATTTATGTGCGAGGCCGCAATGCGCATTCCCTAATATGGATAAACATACACTATTTGCATCTTCTGAGTTTCGTTAGACTCACTCCCCAGTTTAACACAGAGCTGAAAATTGACACAAATTAACATCTTTATATGCATAACAAAAATATAATTTTCGCACTGTAGAGAGAGAATCAATACAGTTCATGTATTTTCCCTGCGCCTAGGACTAGGAGTAAATATAGTTGTATGCTGTGCTCTAACTGTATCTGTTTAATGATACCAACAGTATTGAAAATAATTATAAAAACAGTGAATAAAATGGGAATACGGGTAGTAATACAAGAGTTTTTAAACTATTTCAGTCATACGTTGATAAATTTACGGTAACATAATAAACGTGTGTACTGATCTTTTTAAAGCAAATACAGAATACTAGTGCATTTAATTAATTATTCACTTTTATTTTGTACTTCTTGATAGAATGTATTGTACTAATGATAAATTGACCCTCTAGTGGCAATTACTCATTGTTCGTGACTTGCTCTTTACAATAAGTTACCGCCCTAACTAGGCCACTTTCAACACAACACTAGTAACTTTTTCGAAGCCTTACTAAGTTCCATATTATTGTTTTGGAATAGTGCATGTAGAGATACCACGAACTTCTTGAATAATTTATATTCCATATACCATGAGGCTATGTTGTGAACTTTTTTAAAGAATTTCGCCAGTATTGGTATCGGTAACTATATTTATACAAATTGTCACCAAAAGTCTGTTATGTGTTATGGGCCATTTTAAGCCTTACTGATACCCATTTTTTTGGCGTATAAAAGACGAAACAAGTCTCTACCATTTAAAAAATATTTTTATATCAAATTATGAGAATATCTTTTATCCAAATTCATTCACTCAAGCAAAAAGGGTAGGATGAATATATTAAAAATTAATGTCCTTTTTACACCCTACTTTTAATTTTGTACTTTAAAAACTAAATTATACATTTCTTTAGCTTGATAAAAAATTAGACAACTTATGATAAGATACTTGATTCCAATTTAAAGCCATTAACATATGCAATAGATACTAAATGTCAGATAGTTTTATTTCAAAATGATTAATACGTTATTTTAGTGTACTAAATGGGTTTAGGGGAATTATTACACTGATGTGTCTATCAGAAAAACTACCAAATTATTTTTTATACCCTAGAATTTTGAAACTATGAATTATTATTGCAACTAAAATTGCTTTATGGTCTCATTTTTTTCATATTTATTTTTTGGCAATTAGCAGTAGTACTTCTAAAAACTATCACAAAATGATGGACAGTTGTTATACAAAAATATAAAACTATTGGAATTATATATGATAGATAAATACACAAGCTACTGAGCAACTGACAAATTATGACAATCGAGCTTCGATTCACTGAAAGTTGGTAAAAATACCTCCAATTATGTTTATTCAATATAGATCTGAAGCACAAAACGTACGATTTTATCTAATGCACACCTGATGACTTCAACTTGATTAGCACTTCATGCAACACTTATGATAAACAGTCAGTTCAGAGACCAAGGTTCGGATATATCCATTCCTAATTTCGAAATGTTGATCAGAAGAAGGTAAACAAGATACCAATTTCCACTGTTAAACGATCGATCGCTCTTAACTAAACAGCAGAATTTATTGTCAGTTTTATAAAGTGTGTCCACAGCTGAAAGATCAGAACATGCTTAGCACCAAAGCAAGGGCTCAAACCTTGGATCTTCAAATAACTATTTAGTTGGAGTGACTAATAAAACCAGTAGTGGGCAATACGTACATTTTTTTAGCAAAGATATGTTTATTAACATACGTGATATATGTACACGTGTTTGCACAGACACACACACACACATATATATATTTGTTTAGACTGTAAACTTTAGACTTTTGAATTTAAAAAATAGCAAAGATTATTATGGTTTTAATACTAAGTTATTACAGACTTATGTTAATAATATTGAATGAAAGGAATCTTATTAGTTTATATATCAAACCTTGAAACATTTTTTAAAAATAGACAAAACTGTAAAGGTATATAAATGTGAATGGTTAGTAAGGCTGTTCCATTTACTTATGTATTAAATTTATTTATTTAATCCAATTTTGATATAAGAGTAGGTGAGACTATTGCAAGGGCCTTAGCTCAGGATTTTTTTTTCTTTATGGGGGAGGAGGGAGGGAGTCCATTTACGTTAAGGTCTATCATAATGAGACATCTTTAATTCCTTTTAAATTTAAAAGTGGTACTTGTTTTATTCTATGACAAATTACAGCTGAATGATTAAAAAATAGCAACATCCATTTTTCTTTTGGCAGGACCACCCTTGGCCGTGTGCGTGGACTAACTTATTTTTTGTTTGCATGTATTTGGTTGTTTCTAAACGTGCATACCACAAATAATCTGAAAAACATTCGAGGGATTGAACACTAATATGATCCGGAATGTTGCATTAAGACAAAGTTGAAAATCCGTAACAAAGAAAAAAGAGTCAACACAAGTAATATTTACATAAACGTGCAAGTTTTACTTAGACGTACAAACTGTACAGTTTTCAGTTTTGATACACCAACAAAGGTTATTCATACTTAGATAAGATTATGCAGATTTCATGTTTATTATTTTTTGTTCATCATATTTCCCATAGTATTAAATATGGAAGACATTTTTCATAAGTGGTATCGATGAAAAGTTGTATTAAAAGGCTCGCTCATAAGCGATATTCCCTCATAAAAATGGAAGGTCAAAGATTTTTGCTTTTTTTTTAAGAACACTAATTATTAGTTACTTAAAATCACATATAAAACAAAGTTGGGCTATCTCATCTCATTATATTGTCTATTTACAAATATATATATTCTACATCAAAAACTGAAATTTACTTATTTTTTGTTCCGAGATCTGCAATATTATTATTGCAAGTAACTTCGGCAAGATTTCCGACTTTACGTATGCATTTTCTGTATCATACAGTATTTCCAAGCGATGAAAACCCCTCAATAACTTTCACTGTTGCATTTATATATATATATATATATATATAAAAAAAACTCCTCTCCCAGTGTCAGGTTTATTTTTAGACATAAACATAGACACACATGTGGTATTGTATAATTACTTACATCTCAGTTAATACTTGTTATATCAACATGAATTTTGTTCGAACGATAATTGTCTTAATACTTCACAGATGATTATATGCTCAGATTATAAGACGTTTTAAGTAAAATGATTATTTGGACATTTATTTACAAAATTAATATGCAACAATGTTATTTTTTTAAATTAATTTTGAAACTAATGAGTTTATTGTATACATATCTCTCAAAACAAATTACTTAATATCACACTTTACAAAACTAAAACAAAGGTTATATAAGTGTATACCATATATGATATTAAAAGAGTTAATAACTTAACAACTACATTTACAACTTTCTTCTTGCCAACTAAACCATACAAACGGGAGTTTATAGAAGACAACTGGCCTCCAGTTAGAAATAAAGATAATAATAGTTATATAAAGCTCAAAACTAGCTTAAAACAGTTCCGTCTTGCCAGCTTTACATAATAGGACCAAAAATTTATCCAAAGCATATATCTCTCTCCATCATTAGGTCACATTTCAGAGATTAGCCAATTTGCATACTAAAATTAAAGCATCAAAATTAAGAAACAGTTCATGGTTTGGTTCTATTCAAGATACTGCTTTAAGATACAGAAGTAAACTGAAAGAAAATTTGATTCTTTTTTTTTTGCTTTATCAACCTCATCGTTGTTCCGACAAGCTGAGAAAGAAGTTACAAATTTATCAAAATATACGGAACTTTAAAACTTACACTACTAGAATTTTTTTTAATGCACATAACTAAATTATACCTTTTTCCAAACAGTCTACGTACAAACCCATTGTAATTAGAAAAATATATATATATAGAATTAATATTTCCAATACAAATGTAATATTTTAACTAGATCTTTGACTACTCCTTTAATAGATATAACATGTTTTTGTTCATCCTGATACTGATCTAATTAATAAAGTCTAAGTTGAATTTAATTAAAAGTAGGAACTTTAAACATAAGAATACATACCTAATAATGCTAAGAAAAGGCATATACCAAGTTCAACAAATCAGCTTTAATAGGGAATCATTCTATTTTGGACTAGTTAAACCTTTCATGACCTTCACAAATGACTAAAAGAACACAACCAAGTTTACTTGATCACATATATTTACATCCTTAAGCTTTATCACTGGGTTTAAAACAGAGCACTCTACTTATTAAAACAAAAGTTAACAGTTTTAAAATGGCACTCATGCAGTTACCTGTTGTACAGAATACTTTACTGCAGTTGAATATTAGGAAATATACTATTAGTTACAACTTTAAAGCACTGTATTCATACACAGTGCTGTAAGTCACTATTATACAGAGTGCTGTAAGTCACTGTATTAATACACAGTGCTGTAAGTCACTGTATTACAGTGCAATGCTGTTAAGTCACCATATTATGACACAGTGTAGTAAGTCACTGTATTAATACACAGTGCTGTAAGTCACTGTATTCATACACAGTGCTGTAAGTCACTATTATACAGAGTGCTGTAAGTCACTGTATTAATACACAGTGCTGTAAGTCACTGTATTACAGTGCAATGCTGTTAAGTCACCATATTATGACACAGTGTAGTAAGTCACTGTATTAATACACAGTACAAACGCACATCTTCTTGGGCGATCTGCATTTTATTTTTCTGTTTAAGGAATTTTCAACCACAAATGCTAAAAAATTAAGAACAGAATGATTTTGAAATATAAAATTTTGTTTTCTTCAGATTTTTCTTCCACTTGAACCACATCCTATGTCTTCCAGTTTTGGATAATCATAATTTAACTTTACTTAGAAGACAGATTTTAATATTGTTAACCTAAAAGTGAACTAAAGGAGCAAATTGCCACCGACAGATTACCAGCACTTCTAAGAGAAAGCACCAACCCATAATCCAAACAAGTACTCACAATATACTAACACCATATGTACAAATACACTATATCTTGCTCAATATAACTTCATTTAATCATTTCTCTGTACATAAAAATTTAGAACTGAGTACAACATGTTTTTTGTTTGTTTTTCTGAAATAATTATCAAAACGAATAAATGTTGACTAAGCCAGGTGACGTGCTGCGTACACCAATTATAAATGTAGTGAAAAGAAATGGGTAAATCTTACATATCCAGCATAAAGATTAACTTTCGGTACTAATAATTCATCTATTTTGTGGGACCTAGTCAATCACTAATCTTGCATGTTTTTACTAAATACACACAAGTCCAGGCACTGATAAGTTTGATAAGACTACTTGAAGTTGGTGACACTGTCAGCTGATATTAATAAGATTTTCCTGAAACTGAGTTTAGTAAAAGTGTTAGAACTATGAACTGAATTTACTAGAATGAAAATTGCCTGAAGCTACTAAAACCACCACTTGAATTTAGCTACCTGAAGCTTCTAAAGTTGTACGGTGAAGTTTACTAGAATTAAAACTGTCTGAAGCTACTAAAACCACCACTTGAATTTAGCTACCTGAAGCTTCTAAAGTTGTATGGTGAAGTTTACTAGAATTAAAACTGTCTGAAGCTGCTAAACAAACAACTAGAATTTAGCTACCTGAAGCAGCTAAAACCAATAACTGAATTTAACAGGCTTACAAGTTCTGATAAAAATCATGTTAAACATAGATCTCCACCACTTCTTAATTTTTCAATTTTTGATTCAACTTCAGAGACATTTAGATAGAGCAGAATTCTTCAACTGGATTGGATGACAAGATAAAACTTCTATGAAACACTACTTATATATATACGTCATACACTACTCTAAAGGTTGAGGTTTAAATGCTGAAAGCTGACAAAGCATTAGAAACCAACAGGCCTAAAATTTGTGACCAAAAATTATAGTATCTGCTGATCTTTTTCCCTCTTAATTTTTTTTAGATATCAGATTCAAAATTAGAGGCGTGTAAAAAGAGCATTTACCTAAACTAAAGCTGTGTGAATTTTACACTAGTAAAGCTGTTAGAATCTGTAAATTGTTTAAAACTGCTGACATGGTTTTTTTGACTTGAATAAAGCTCCAAACTCTATTAAACCATTATTTTAAAACTGATATTACAAATCTAAGAAACTGGTCATTCAAGAACCTTGTAAACCAAATATCTACTAATAACGAATATTTTCTCCTTGAAATTCTTTAAGAACACGAAGTTCGTTCATACCTAAATTCACCGGTAAAACTGTCACAAACCTCAAAATATAATTTCAGGTGATAATTAATGACCATTTTGTGGAACATAGTCAACCAATGACCTTATATGCATGTTTTTACGATATACAAACACCTATAAGTCGAGGCATAAATTTTTTAAAAATATTACACAAGTGTAATGCGTTAAGAAATATGCTAGAACAACTTTAAAACATTATTCATTCACTAAGAATGAAAGAACATGTTGATAACAATTTAAAATCCCCCCCCCCAACTTTTTTTGTAAAATGCTTTAACAAAGAATTTAACTATTAAACAGTAATTAAATTTTTTTTAGCTAAAATAAAAAAAAGGGTGCCAAGAGTAATGATTTAAAAATTCAAGTGATCGGCCTAACACAACATTGGGAATTCTCAAGCTATTTCTCGGTCTTATTGTAACAGGATAACACTGTAGGGAACATACAGTGACAAACATTCAAAATTATACACTCCAACTATATTTCAAACATTTAGCTTCATTAACGAAAAAAAACCTTGGATATTCTAATCACAATTCATCAATTTCAGTATACAATTCATAAACATCATTAAACAAATTTTCTGTGGTGCAAAAGAAGTTAAAATTGGGTAAAGTAGTCTTTAGTTAAAAACCCTGCGTATCAACATACACTTTTCAGTATAACAAAAGGTATATTTTAAGATGAAGAATACACTGGTGGTGATTTCCGAACTTTAATTGATGCCAAAACTAATTCATCTTTTAATCAAACAGGAACTATATAAATTAACACATGGAAACCTAAGGAACTGTTTTACTAAATTGTGAGAGTATATAACACGAGATAAATCATTTAAATTCCTCAAATTTTAAGTTACAAAGAGTATTGTCTTAATTTCTAAGTAATAAACATCTCCAATGCAAGGAGAAACAATTTCCTTTAAATAAATCCTTCCAATATTAACGAACTTTGAACCAAAAGTAACCATTATCATCCTACTTTATCTGGGGAAACCACCATCAGTGAGCCTAATTAAGTAGATAGTCATAAACCGATGTAACAGTGGCACATTCCAGTACTAGAAACCACACGGAAGGCAATTAAAATTATACGTTCGTAAACATAACAGTTTATTATAGCCCTAACCTATCACTATCTTATGATAACAGTAAACAGATCTTTCACATTTCAGCCACCTAATAACGTATGATATTTTTCATACAAACATTGTCCAATATGAACATAAATGTTACAAAGTCTCAGCTTCAGACATTTTGTTTCACTGGTTCAAATGACTAAAAGTTTTACAAATTATGCTACTTTTATTAAATAATCTGTTAGTTTGGTTATCTATACATCTAACAGAGCAGGCCACAAGAGGGCAACATTTACATGAAATACATTCAGGTCTTCCTCTGCCCGGGGAACCTCATTCTTTTCATCTTTATCTGTCCATAGATGGCACCACCGGGCAAGTCCTTGCTATTGGAGCTTTAGACTAGGCCAGCTAAGTGATGGAAAACTGAAACAAGAATCGGTAGAAAAAATTTTCTAAGGTCATTATAACATTTCATGTTGGAGAGAAAAACTGAGGTGATAAATGAACTTATAAAACATTAAATAATTATCACCATGGTCACCACTCATGAAAACTAACTAAAATACATCACAGTAGTTCACTTTGAAAACTATGACAAACCTGACGTCTGAGAATGATGTTAGCTTTGGTAGTTTAGTCGCACAAACTTAGAATTTCAATGCAAGAAAGCATGCTTTATAACAAAATAACTAATAATAAACAAAAAACATATAGCTTGAAACTGCTAAGAAATTATAACAAAAATATACACATATAAAACTGAATTTTTTAAAAAAAAGTCAGGGCAATGAGAAAAACAAAGTATTACATAATAGACAGCAATATTCAATTCACGTTATTAAATAATGACAAAGTATTAAGATGTAAGAACACGATAAAAGAAATATCAATAATAATTCAGCTAGAAAAGAAATATCTATTGAGAAGAATGCTACAACAAAAAAGCAAAAACAAAACATCCACTAAAACTTGCACAAAACCGACACATCTCTCAAAACCTCAAACAAAAACACATATTTACTTAAATTTATACTTTTACACTTGTACAGAGAAATGATACAGATCTAAAGCGTTTCTTACAATTAATCGGTAACTTTACACTTTCCATATAGCCATGACATAATCGCAAGAAAAATAGGTTTTAAAAACTTTAATCGGTAGTGATAGTAACACTAAAAGCTGCCACTTAGTTTAAGAGGAATCGCTTATTTAGTTGTTAGAAAGTTTTTAGTCATTCGTTTCTTTTCAATACAAAAAACAAAATTATTTCTAAGGTATGATCTTTTGTCTGTTATGTAACTTTCAAGAACAAATATTCGACAATTCCAGAGCTGTTTAACGGATCCTTTTGATATTTTTGATACAGAATCCCCCGCTTCTCATTTAGTGTAAGCAAGATCACATTTTCTAGGTGCTCCAAAATGAATGTCAAAATGTCGAGCAAAAACAACATATTTACTTATAGTTACATTACAGATGTCCCAGAATGAATATCAAAACTTGAAACAAACTAAAAAAATCTACAGATATTAACATTCTGGAAAATTTGGGAGGAAAATAAAGGTGTCTATATATATACTTACAATCTACGTATTCCGGAAGGCTTCATCCACGGGAACAACTTTTCTTCTGGTTCTTTATTTATTGGCCCCTGCACTGGTAACTCTTCGATAGTTCTTTCTAATTCTCCCTCGTTATCTGACCTGAAAAAAAAGAAATGTTATCATCTTCGCTAACCGTTTTTTTTTAACCAGACTGGTCTTCCTCTGTGAAAATGTACATTTTAAAACACAAAATAAAAAGTGCTACCCATTAATTAGGAAAACACTCTAAAATGATATTTTGATTCACTCGTCAGAACTTATTGACCTTAGGTGCACAGGTAGGGGGTCAAAGTGGCACATGTCATGACCTTTTACAGAGTGCCATTCAACATGGTATGTGTTTGATATCAGTTATCAACTATTCATTTTACCCTACATTGTGTACAAGGCAGTTACTATTCTTCCTTCATAACGTTTTGTTGTTGTTCAGAATTTGTAGTGCATATTGGAAGGATTTAGACATTTTGTAGTGCATATTGGAAGGATTAAGACATTTTGTAGTGCATATTGGAAAGATTTAGACATTTTGTAGTGCATATTGGAAGAATTTAGACATTTTATAGTGCATATTGGAAGAATTTAGACATTTTGTAGTGCATATTGGAAGGATTAAGACATTTTGTAGTGCACAATGGAAGGATTAAGACATTTTGTAGTGCATATTGGAAGGATTAAGACATTTTGTAGTGCACAATGGAAGGATTTAGACATTTTGGCAATAAACAAAAATTTCTCTCCAGAGATAGTAGTACAAGAACTGTTTGATATGAAAACACAAAACAAAAAAAGAGGATGAAATGTTGGCCAAAATAAAAAGTGTATTATTATTATTATTATCTGGAGAGTAAGGTGTGTTTTTTTCTTTACCTTAACTGCCAAAATGTCTGCTGAAGTTTTTATTCCTTGGCATCTTATATTGCAACTTGAAAATAGCAATAATAGTTCTAAGCAATCATTTTCCAATCTTTACTTCAGAGTTAAAAATCTATTAATATGAAAAATCCAGATTCAAGCACATCATGAGAAAAGTGGGTAATACTTGATGTTCAGTGTCAGTCACTGGCTTCCTTAACACATCAGTGATAAATCTTAAAGATTTATATTTGAAGTCTGATCCTTCCTTGGAAAATAAAATTGAACTGTACAAAGTCATACTGTTTTGTATACATCTGTCAGCAGAATTCAGTTCGTGTACAGAAACATATACACATCTACCTTCAGATCAATATTTTTTTGTTTAATATTTACATACTTTGGAGGAGGAGCAGGCCTGAAGATAGCAAGTTCATCTAGAAACATATACACATCTACCTTCAGATCAATATTTTTTTGTTTAATATTTACACACTTTGGAGGAGGAGTAGGCCTGAAGATAGCAATTTCATCTAGAAACATCTACCTTCAGATCAATATTTTTTTGTTTAATATTTACACACTTTGGAGGAGGAGTAGGCCTGAAGATAGCAAGTTCATCTAGAAACATATACACATCTACCTTCAGATCAATATTTTTTGTTTAATATTTACATACTTTGGAGGAGGAGTAGGCCTGAAGATAGCAATTTCATCTAGAAAAATCTTCACATCTACCTTCAGATCAATAATTTTTATTTAATATTTACATACTTTGGAGGAGGAGTAGGCCTGAAGATAGCAAGTTCATCTAGAAACATATACACATCTAACTTCAGATCAATAATTTTTATTTAATATTTACACACTTTGGAGGAGGAGTAGGCCTGAAGATAGCAAGTTCATCTAGAAACATATACACATCTAACTTCAGATCAATAATTTTTATTTAATATTTACATACTTTGGAGGAGGAGTAGGCCTGAAGAAAGCAAGTTCATCTTCCAGTTCACTTATCCTCGCTTTCAGGTCATTTCTTTCAAACATTATTCTTTTCAGCTCATCTATTGTAAATCGTGGCCTATTGGGGTCATCAAGGTCAATCACCATCTTTCCCCTCAAATCTGGCACAAGTTTACTCTGTAAAAAAACAAACTTGAATTCAAAGTGTGGAAGAAACATTCTCGTACATTCTGGGATTGTACTACACTTTAAAAAAAGAATCAGTGTTCAGATCACATTGAAAAAAACAAGTTAGCACCTACTGGTTCCTCTCGCTGAATAAAAGCAACAAAAAAAAATTCACACTTCACATAATATTGTAAACTAGCTCTACACAGGAAAACAGAGCTGTGCATTATGTACTAGTTTAAACCATGGAAGAAAATGAACAATTGATCATAAGGATATAGTAAATGTTGGTGCTTCTCCAACTATTTTCTTATCTTAAGCAATTCTGATTAACATGTTCAACATACAATTAAACATTTTCACGGAACTTAGCTAACCTCTTTTTGATGATGCAAGAAATAATATTTTACAGAATTGAGGAAAACAAGACAAATGTATGTTTCACAAGTACTTCATTTATTACAACCACGGTTTTGCCCATCAGTTCCTCCTCACTTGTCTCTAAGTGAATGTCAAGGTCACTTATGGTTCTTTGGTTAAACATATATATATATATATATATAATCCCTGCTACAAAACATTTCAGTCTATTGTAGTTAATGAAGTATTTGCAAAATGTACAATTGTTTTGTTTTCCCTCAATTCTGTAATTATGGAGTTTCACCAAGTACTGACAATTCTTGATTTATTACTTAAAATAAAAAAGTAGGCAGGCTCTGGTAAAGAAAAACAAAGCAAGAGAAAGTGGGAGCTTGGGTTTGTTCCATTTTTTTTATATATTTTGACTAACATTACACTCTTCTTTTCCAGGCAGTAGAAAGAAAGAGAGAGAGAGAGGAAAAAAAAAAGACATAGATAGATAAATAAAAGTACATAGAAAAAAATATTTCTCAACCTACTTCAGCCTGTGCAAGTTCTAAGTTTTCCTTTACTGCTACCCCCAAACGTTCACGTAGCTGTTGAAGCTCTTTCTGATGTTCTTCTACACGTACTTGTAGTTCTGCTTTTTCTTCAACAAAAGTTCGCATCTGAGATTGCTGGTGCTTTTGTTTGCGTCGTAAATCCTTGTTGAGGTGCACCAACTTTTGAACCTGTTGCTGAAGCTGTTCAAATTTAAAATTATTAATCAGTCATAAACTTAGGTTTAGTTGGAGGTAAACATGAATGAAGTACATTTATCCACTTCTCATTTGGGGGGAATTTGGTGTTTACCATTTTAATTAATGTTTTGCACATCTTTAGTATGAACCACATCACTGTCCAGCATAGACCCTAACTACCAAAAAGATTAGTTTACCAATTTTATTGTTTTTACTATAAAACCACTAGACATTTAACCAAAAACACAAATCAAAGTTTGGCCTTCACTGAAACCAGTATGTACACCATTCTTCCTAAATAAGCTGATATTAATTATGATGCAAAACAAGTGACTTTAGTGGCCACAGTATGCATTCTCATAAAAAAAACTGGATAGCTATGCTACTTACAGATTCTACATCGTTACACTTCTGATGTATTTCCCTGTCTTTCTGGTCAAGTTGCTCCCTTTGCCTGTCAACAATCTCTTTCAACTTCTGTGCTACCATCAGCTCCTGATCTGGGAAACAACCTGTACAACACGACATTTATTGTCGTAGAAGGACTGTTCTAATTATGTACATCATCATAATAGTCGTATATAAATAAATACAGACAAGTACGTCACTACATAAAAATATATAGATCATAATGTTACTACAGTAAAAATATACTCACGTATAGGCCTTCCACTACAATGGAAGATATAACGTCACAACCAAAACAACACAGAAAAAAAAAAGATGAATATCATAGCTATTAGAACACCAGAAGATACACACCACAGTTACTAAAGGCATAACGACATAGATCATAGATACTAAATGCACGATGATGTATGTTACAGATGTTTTAACACAGAGAAGGTATAAACCACAATTACTAAACAAGATGATACAGAACCCAACAAAATATGATATAGATCACAGATGCTATAATACAGAGATGATACAGACTACAGTTACTCAGCAAAACATAATACACATCATAGTTACTCAAACATAAGAAGATATATATCAGTGGTCCCCAACTGCCAGTTCATGGGGAGATTTCAGATGGTCCCCAAGACAGTTGGTCTTCAGTTGGAAAAGGGATAGAAACGACTAATATAGACCATAGTTACTACAATACAATAACATTTACAGGTCATAAGTAGTACAAGAAGACAACGTCATTCAGAGTTATTACACAAGAAATAAATCACAGTTACTACAAGATCATGCATCTGTCTCACACTACAATGCACGGGTATGTATAAATTTTGTTTTATTACGACAGAAAAAGACAATAGAACACAAAAAATATACACAATGGTTATTATCTCAACAGAAAACGTAGCTCAGTGGTCCCCCCCCCCTCTACATCGTGTAACAATTTGAAGAAGGAAAACTGTGAAAAAGAGCATACGTATATCTCAGGAAAAAGACACACAAGAATAATATTTGATAACAAACTGGATACAGCATATTCACTACTCGAGAAAAATTCACAATAATTACACAGGTTTTTCTTACTTGTTGACTTTTCAGACAGGAAATCTTCCTTCTCTTTCAGTGAGCTACTCAGGCGGAAATTTTCCTCCTTCAGCTTTGAAACCAGTTCACTTAACTGGTTGGTTTCTTCTCTCCAAATGTCCTCTATATGTTCCAACTCCTAAAAAATAAATTTCAGAATCAGAGTCTTAAACACAACAAACGATTCTATTTAAAGGGATTTATGAAGCACAAAGAACATCTGAAATGATAAGGTATGGAATGTCACAATTGCCGAGATCTACTGTATTCAAATCCAGCATAGTATTGAGAAAAAATTAAAATCTGAAAGGAATTATGGGAAAGATAACAGTATTCGTTATAATTCCACTTATACAAGACTTACTTTTTTCTACTTAGAAACTTATTTACTGTAGTAACCCAAGTTATAACACATAATTTTCAAAGCAAAATAAATATAAAATGTTTTAAAACTTAATACCTGAACTATTTTTAATTCAACCACCTATTAAAGTACCTTATATATTTAAACTAACCCTTTTAACAATAATATACACAATTTAAATGGATGTTTTTTGGATATTCCTATTTATAAAAGACACAAAATACAAAGTACTGTAATTTTTAAATCAGCAACATAGTTTTGGTCCTTCAAAACATTACGTGAACAGCACGACAAATTTTTTCTGCCTTTCCAGGCAAAATTCCATATTTTTCCAGACTTACACATGGATTCACGACACACCGATATTTCAACTTTTCTTCAAATTCTGCTTATTTAAAACCTTTTTAGCTGCTAATCTGATTACATTGGGTAACTGAATATTTGATCTAATTCATCATTAAATTTAATGAATTACACTATCATCACCAGATAAAATAACCTAAAATTACAGACCAAGATTATATTAAAAGCTAGCAGAGACCCACAAAACATTTGAGTCAAATTAGTATCTTTATTGCAACAGTACATCTTTAAAGGATTTCTAGAATAATACAAAATAATTCTAATCACAGAAACCAAAATCTATAAGTCCACTTGTCTTAGGCCTAACATTAGTTAAGCCTTTTATTAAGTATAGCCTATATTCAATAGAAAGATAAATTAACACCGTAACTTGTGTACATTTTTTGCTTTTGTTTAGTTAGGGCTAAACTTTACTGTACATAATACTATCAATAAATAAACTTATAATGTTATTCAACAACCTAATGTTAGACCTTTTTAAAAACTTTGATAAGTTGTTGTACAAAATGTCTACTAAAGGATATTTACACCCGCCCTTTGTTTACATCCATTGAAATGAAACTTGCGCACATTTTCGGGACAGAAACACATTGAGTATTATTATAGTAGATACCAGTAATTGGCACAGTTAACCAGCAAAGCATTTGTACATGTTGTGAAGTTTGGTTTTCAAAAAGTGGAGGCACAACTTCCGACTTTTCTAGGTTTGTAGAAATTGCAGTCATTCTTATGATTGTCAGTTGATATGCACATTATATAGTCCTTTGATGAAGCTAATTCCTTAAGTTTTCAAACATATTCACAAGATGAAAGTTATAGTTGTATTTAACTTAGTTTAATACTTATTTTTTTTTGTAAATTTATGATGCTAAACAAATGTGCTGATTAACTAAGATATTATTTTCAAGTAACAAAATCTTATGCATTTTAATTAGGTAAATTAAAACAGGTTGATGTTTCCTTTATCGTCTGTTAGTGTGACATAAGAATAGGGGATACAAACAATTTCTTGAAACATTATTCTCCAACATGTTGGGGAACAAGTGCCTAATTGTCATGATTGGAAATTATAACATGCCACTTGTTAAATTGATATTTGTTATCTTGAAATAGATTTACTATAAAGAGGAAGTCAGAAGCTGCATGTATTTTTAGGTTATAAAAAACAACTAGTGATTCACTTCGTTGGTATCTTTGTGGCTGATGCCATGTAGTGCTAGAACCGGTACACGTATATGTAGATTTTAAAAAGGTTCGTA